GTAAATCCGTTCTAAGTTCAAGTGAATCCAACCAATCGCATTCTATCAGAAACCCAATAAAGTGGTTGGCCCTTCTGCTGTCAAACGTCACCGATTGGACCGGGTCTAGGAAAACCCCGTCTAGTTTAAGTGAACTGATTTCTCCAAAAACAAACAAAAGTACTTTCCGAATGAGCTACCGAGTGAGGATGAAAGTTTCGGTGGGGTGATATTTGACTATTGGTCCCCTCCCCCCACCCCACCAGCGTACTTCATGTCCTTGACCATTGATCGTGAACTTTAGACGAGAATAAACAAACCCGGTGGTAATGGGCCTCGGTCGGCCGCGTAAGGAAGCGAATAACGTCAAAATAAATCCAACCAACGATGAACAATAAACGTGGGTTATGCATTGCGTTGGATAAAGAGATTAGGAAATTCTAATCCAACTCTTCAGTCAGTAGCAAACCGCACGGAAACGTCGCTGCAACTGATTGGAAAACTGGGCTGACAATGTGCAATGAAAGAGGAGAATGTAACATGAGTAAATGAATATACAATGTATGACTGATACATCCAACCATCTTCCATTACATTATGTTAGTTTAATTGCGTTAACAACGGAACTAAGGATAAATGCTTATTTGTTGTTCACAGTTTCGCATGGATGCTATTTTGCCAAAGGCCGGTTAACGCGATGATAGCTGAAGTTAATGTCTTTAACTTGTACTACAACAGCTAGGGGGAGTTATGAGAATTGTCGGTCTATTTCAGGATCATCAGATTTCATCAGCAATGCGCGTCCACTGACCCAACTGATGATTGAACCTGGGACCACAGAAGCCGAAAGCACGCATGCTATATATATGAGGAGAATTATTGATTTAAATATTAACGTCGAATAGGCTTAACTAATATTGCACAGGACGAACCATCAAATATGGAACAATTGGTCAGTATTTTCGTGATCGTCCTTTCATCGGTCCTTGCTATTCTAATAAACTATTTGTCTCTTCTGTAGACGTGATAAGGAATCCTTTACTCCACCAGGGGATGCGCGCAAACTACTTCCTAACGTGAGTGGTACACCACACCACTCCTTGTTGTGTTCTGTTTTATTTGCACCATCGTATATACTTATATATATAAATATTTAAAAAAGTTTGTCGAACTCCGAATGGTTATTTTTGTTTGGATTCAACATGGATCAGGCACATCACCATTGGCGCTATAGAAAAATTATTTACCCAATTTTCAATTGGTGTCTGATAAATTAAGAATTCCATCGTGTATAATTTTGCACAGTAAATGTGATACCAACCTAGAAAATACGAATTTACGAAGAGACATCAGCTAGATGCACTTTGGAAAACACAGGGTTTGAAGAATTAAGTAAAACCTGAAGTGAATTCCATACTAAGAGCCAAATGCATTTGTTATGAACACATGGACCTAATTTGGAAAACATAAATGCACATTTTCTGGTATTACTAGACTTTGTGCTAACTGGCATATCCGATGGGCTCATGGAGAAAAAGTTGCACAGAAAGCGAAAATGGTCAGTGCATGGAATGTCCGAGATTCATAGGATTTATACTAAAAGGAACCAAATGTTGAATATCGTTGTGTACAGAGTAACTCAAGAGTGAACTAAAAAATCTAGTAAGCACTGCAGAGGTGTAATGATCCGTTTCCATCTGATCAGTTATGCGAATCCATCAACCAAACTGGGGTTCGAAATCTGGATCGCATAGGTAGAACAGAAGCATCCTAACCACCCACTCACCGGGCAGCTGATTCTCATGTGATATGTAGTCTAGTTGGAATTCTTCAAACCGAGTCATAACCCTAGAGGCCAGTGCTGAGATGCCCAAGGTGCCACGCCCGCATTAGGCTCGTTAGGTTGGGTTGTGATATATCGTGTTTAGGCAAAATGAGAAACGGTCTGATCAACTACCCGGTTCTCCGGTGTGAAGTATTTCCACGTTCTATTTGTGCGGTCCTTGGCTCGATCCTCAGTTGTGTTGATAGTTTCACAATGCTGATGAGATCCAACCAGATCGAAACAGTTGCCCAGTGTTTCTCAGCTTTCCCGCCCACACTTCAACTACTCCGTACATGACGAACTTCACTATGTAGTCAAACCAAATTCTCCATTACTCTCATGTAAAGCGAATCGTCATTAAATATCCAGTACCCCGGGGCAGAAAATTCTGATACATAGTTACCTCAAGGAAAACATAAATATCCTAGGGTAAATGTTCGCCTCAACCAAAGGATTTTTACTATTTCACTGGAAAATTTCAGCCATAATACGTTCAATGTGTTCCATCAAAGACCATTCCTGCCTACTTTCAGCCGGATTCGATGCAACCCACTGCCAAAACTCAAACTTATAAGCTCCTCAATCATTAGATTATAAGCCTGTGCTAATGACTGTCATTCGTGGTTGCTTACTTTTTGCACTGAGTTTGTAACGCACTCGTCCCGAAAATTGGAAACACTTTCCATGTTGGCTATGGCATGGGGGAAGAGATATGGTAACGACCACGATACTTGAAAACTTGCAACAAACGGGTCAATCAAAAAAATTCTCCTCATCGTCTACCGAGTGGTTGGTACTCACTCCTCAACGCTTTGGTGTCAAAATGAGCTACTGCATGGATGATAAACATATTTCCACACGTACATGGTCCACTTTTCGAAAAGTAGCTTGCAAATGAAATAAAACCGCTATGGTTAGGAATAGAATACATAAAAACAGTCTCACGTTCTTATTAGAGAAATCAAGTAGCGCAATTCCTATTCATCTCCACGCACATTCATGTTATGGTCATATGAGAAACTCACAACCAATGACTACAAGGGGCTTTAACTACACCACATATCTATGTGATGTGCGTATCGGATAGTGCATGCATCATTAAAACCAATGATTGCTCTTGAAATCGACGCTTTCGTGATGCTCAGATTCTGAAACAATAATTATTTCGAAGCTTCTGGACATTTCCACGGAGATAAAAAAAAGTATACGCTAGAAAACGTTTCAAACCTGGAATCAACTCACACTACTGTTCCAATAATCGATATAATACTTTTCATTGTATAAATAAATCCAATTCAGTTCATCAGACCAACCGATTCACTTTATATTTTGGAGTTGATTAACGAAAATTGAAAACCGGCTATTGGAATTTACCGCATGTTTTGTATCGCAGAAACCCTTTCCTTTTTGGCAACGAAGTGTTGGAACTTTTCATTAGCATTCCTTTCAAATTAAATCGAAATTCGTTCTTTCAATTCAATGTGTTTGTCAAAATGTCAATAATTGCATGAAGCATGCGCACTAAATGGCCTTTCATTTGAAAGTGAAAGTAGTGTGGTATTCAACAGAGTGGTTTATTTCGCTTCAATAATTCGAGGCAGCTAAGCATTTCGGTCGAGAAAACTATTTCTTTTAAATTCAAATTTAAAATCTACTGACAGAGAAAATATTCGTCCTCAATATTCAACTTTTTTAAACTCGATACTGTTGTTGGAACACAATATCGGAACTCATCAAGAATTCACACAGTTTAAGCATCACATTTTCTACCCATACAAAAAGTACATATGAATGGAACTTTTTGGAAAGGAATTTTGTGATCACACGTTTTGACCCACCATTAAAAAACACTGCATTCATTGCAATCTGCAATGTGATGGTGGCGTATGAGGTGACAAAACCTGTTTCATTCGAACTAGATGACTATTCCTTGAAGGAGAAAAGAGGTCACCGTTTAGTCAAATCATTTCTGTCAAGCGTAATGGTACACTGAAAACGTCAACCAAAAACAACGTTGTAATGAATTCATTAATATAAACGAGTGAGTTTTCTTTACGGAAAACGGTGAAGAATTTTCTTCTGTAAAACAGCAATGCCATCATGTGGAAGGTTATGGTTGGATTAACTCATTCGACGCCGACGAACAGTAGACAATGCATTTGGATACTATGTGTTCTGTGGTCTGGATTTTACACCTGGGGAGTTCAATACAAACATTATAATAGT